ACATGGAGAGGGTCCAGAGGAGGGCCACTCACATGAACAGGGGGCAGCAGGGCAGGCCTTATGAGGAGAGGCTATGAGACCTGAACCTCTTCAGCCTCCACAAGAGAAGGCTGAGGGGGGATATAGTGGCCTGTTACAAACTAGTCAGGGGGGATCAGCAGGCACTGGGGAAGTCCCTGTTCCCCCGAGCACTTCCAGGAGTGACTAGGAATAATGGTCACAAGCTGGCAGAGGGTAGATTTAGGCTAGATATCAGGAGGCACTACTTCACGGTCAGGGCGGCTAGAATCTGGAACCAACTTCCAAGAGAAGTGGTGCTGGCTCCTACCCTGGGCGTCTTTAAGAGGAGGGTAGAAGTACATCTTGCTGGGGTCGTTTGCCCCAGTACTCTTTCCTGCCATGGCAGGGGGTTGGATTTGATGATCTACTCAGGTCCCTTCCGACCCTAGAAACTATGAAACTGGTCCTGCCCCTTCTCAGGGCTGGGCATGTAGGGCGAAAGATTTCTGGAGTGATGGTGGGGGTTGTAGGGGTGGCTTGGAGGTGGTGAGGTTTGTGGGTGGATTGTGGGGGGTCCCCTGCCTGTCCCTGGGCACAGCACACAGCCCCCCCAGCAGCAGCCACGGTCATTGGGGCATCAGGGGCCACTACTGGCAGAGCCCCCACCTCGTGGCCTGGCGCAGCCCCAGCTGCCTGGGATCTGGTGTCATATGTACCACATAGTGCGGGCCCGGCCCAGCCTGGGGGTGCGTGCCTTCAGGCACGACTGGGCTATTCTTGCTGTCATCCAGGGTTTCAACACAGCGTGCAGGGGCTGTGCACCCTTTGGCTGGGCCAGGTTCTGCCTCCGTGGAACCGGCCCAACCTGACAGTGCGTGGGGCACTTGGAGACAGAGCCCGGCCCAATCCGAGGTCATGCAGCTCTTGTGTGTGGTACTGGGGAACCCGGGTCACAGTGAGTGGCCTGGTCCTGCCCAAAAGTGTGCGCTCCCGGGCCAGGTCAGGCCTGCACCATATGGCACAGGGGGTGCCAAACCTCAGGCAGCCAGGTCTGTGTCGCACTACTGGGGGGAGGGGGAAGGGGGGGGCGCTCTGCTAGTAGCGGGCCCCGAGTGCCCCAATGGCTGCTGATGCAGGGGACAGGAAGCACTCAGTACTAACCCCTATATATATAACTTGGGGTTAGAACTTGCTGGTGAGATTTTACAAATACTTGCACTCTCTCACAGTTTTATATCCAGGTAAGTAATACATAGGGGCCTACCTAATTCATACATTTTGCATTTTTTGCAGAAACTGTGAATTTGGTAGGTCCTCCATAAAAAAATCCCTATCCCCACAAAATGGAAGAAAACAGCAGAGAGCCAGCAGGGGAGTAGGGAAGGTAGCTGCAAACAGAAAAGGGCAGGAAACCCTGGCGTCCTGGAGCACAGGGTTGGTGGGGGGTGGGGGAGGGAACAAGGGAGAGAGGGGAATATTGACTGGGGGCTCCCCAGGAAGTCCCGCCTCTCCCTGGAGATTGACAGGTAGCCATCTGTCAATTTTGGGGAAGAGGCAGGACTTCTGGGGTCCCTTGACTGGAGGTTTGGAGAGGCCTGCCACATGCTGCCGTGAAAATGGCACCTGATGCCATGCCAGGACAATGAAACACAGAGGTAGCCTCCATGAATTAGGTAGGTCCCTAGTAATAAGCCTTGGCCACCAGGCAGTCATAAAAACATGCATCAAGATTAAAAGTAGTGCATACAGGTTTTGACTAGATTAGGGTGCCACTGTGATTGTTCTTAAACATCTAATAAGATGACAGTTCCAACCCCAAAGAGCTTACGAGCTCAACGGGACTCAACTGCACTGGAAAATCCCATTTACTTCTCTTCTGTACAAGAGATGCTGATAACAACACAGAGAAAAGCCAGGGACAAAGAATATGCCATGTAAGAGGTGTACCCAACCTCCCATGGTGTTCTGCAGAAGGGTTAACAGAAATCCCTTCTTAAAATGGTATTAGGCAAAGGGGAGATCTGAACCAAATTTAATTTTCAAATCCCCAGTTTCTAACATGGATCCTGTTTAAATTATCCTTATTAGAGATTAATTGTATCCCTTGCATCTATGAGACTATTTCTGAACAAGTTTTGCCTCTGGAATAAGTCTGCTGTAGCACAGGTGAGTTTTGGGACCATATGATACAATCCTTTCCTGTTTCTAGAAGAGCCTGTTCTTACTATGGTACCTTAAAGAGATATCGGAAGACAGCAAAGGAGAGGCTCATGTTAAAAGAATCCCAAGCTTAAAAGGTGCTTACATTTGAAAAAAAGACCTGAAGAGAACTATTTACAAGTTACACCTCTTTTTCTATATACAGTGATCAGCACACATTGAGTTTCAGGTGCTGAAGAAGAATACAACATAACCACTAGGGTCATTAATTCCAAAAGATGCAGAATAGGGAAAACTTTTTTTTTTTTTTTAAACAGACCTCTAAAAATTCCCATCATATTGTGAAAACAGGACAGCTCCAACATGAGATGACAGGTACAATAAATGTTTTATTTATAAAATTTTAAATCCATAATAAAAAAGTTACTAAAAAATACAAGCAAGAGAGCAATGCTGAAAAAAATACAATCAGTTAATATAAACAAACAAGTTTATTTTAACAGTGGGAGTTGCAATGCATTGTTCTGTACCCCCATTACACTGGTTTTTGCTTGGTTTCTTTTCCTTCACCACACTACAGTGGACTCGAAGGCTGCATGAAACCAAATGGTCCTTGGTAAAACACGTCTATCAACATTGTCAGTGGCAAGGATGTTTTGGGGTGAGCTCTTTTGTTGGGCCAACTCTATTCAATAAAAAGACAGCACCCTAAGACATTTTTTCTCTGCATAATTCCTGGACCATCATGGCTACATCATCACTCTTACACTATCAAGTTTGGCAGAGACATACATTAACAGTTTACTAGAATTAGTCTTTATATGGGTAACCGTTCAAAAGATTCCCTTTTGAACCAGAGAGCAATACTTCAAGAGTTTTTAAAGACATACTGTATATTTAATGGTTTCCTTAGTAGAACTAAAGTCTTCCTACCAGCCTCAGAGCTAGACCTGTATAACTGCAGTAAAGGGTGCATCTGTACAGAATAGGTCCCTATTTTGGGTGTATGCAGTAAGCCACACCCAAATACAGCAGTACCTACATGAGTTGTAAGGTCTGTAGGTTATGCAGCTATTCACAGTGCCCAGCACAGCTCCCTGCAGTGGAGCATAAGTGCTGTGATAGACCTTTCATTTCCAACTGAGTACATTTTTCAAGGGTGCCTAAAGGACATAAGAATTCAAATGCCACTGAGTCTTACTAACAGATCAATTAGATATTTCTGAAAAATTCCCTCGTCCATCACATTTCTGGTTTGCCCCCATGAATGTTTCCCTCGGTTCTATCCTGAATAAGGGCCTGCTATAAACTCACATTGCTACTGTACCTGTACCTGACTGCTTAAGCTATGAATATAGGTGAAGTGCTGGACGAGCCCCTGATGAATAATTACCCATATGGAGTAATGGTTTTCCAGGTCTGGCCCATCACTGAGAAAGGGGTACATAGAGAAAATAATTAGTAGGTAGCACTGGTTAAAAATGTCCCTTAGCAGTACTTTTGAGTCTTGTAGATTTGGTATCGTCTTTTGGCACAATTGTTGCTTACAATTAAGAAAGGAAAGGAGAAAATCTAAAGCCTAGATCAGGGGTTGTCAACCTGGGGGTACTTGGGAAGGCCCCAGGGGGTACGCAGCAGTGGCCTGGAGAAGCAGGGAGTGGGGCCACTTTTGTTTCCGTGCTGCCAGTGCTTCTGGTTTTGCCACTGCACACCGCTGGCACTTCTGGTTTTGTCACTGCGTGGGTGGGTGGACAGAACCCCACCCCCAGCCCATAACTGGCTGCTGGGGTTCACCGACCGAAAAAAGGTTGAAAACCCCTGGCCTAGATTAATGGATATTAATTAACATCTAGAAATATTTTTAGTATTCCTTTTAAGTTTCATAAAATGGCTTAATTATTAAAATTAGAAAATAAGCCACTTAAGGCTTTCAGTAATTCTCTCTGAAATTCAAGGATGTTGAACATCCATTGACAACAAAATTTGTCTGCTGTATTCCTCATGTCCACATCCAGAGATGTTCCTGGAATGAACACTTGCACGAAAATGCTGTACCCCATTCAAGCATCAATATTTAACACTTCTGCCTGAGAGAATTATGAAAATCTACGATTTGCTGACAGTGGGTTTTAGCAGTAGGTATGTTTCCCAGAACAGATAGATCTCAGGTGACCTGCAAAGTATATAAGTTCTTATTTGACCTTGTGAATTTTCATCCCCTACACAAAGCACAGATAGTTTATATTTGAAGAGGGTTCCCCCCCCCCTTTTTTTTAAATGTAGAAAAAAAGAACAATCAAGCCTCATCTTCCCAGCTTTACTATAATGCTCTAACATTTGTGTCCTCATATCTTACTTGAAGGGGACAGAGTTAGATCTCCAACTACTTTAAGACAGCTTTTATCCCTACCGAATTCTACAAAGGTGCTGGGGGGATGGAAAGGGGGAGAACATTAGTTCATGTGAACATCTTAGTTCAATTAAGAATTCTAAACTATTAGATGAAAATTATATCTTTTATACCTACCAGATACCCAAAGTGCATTTCAGAAGCCTCTACTTTTCTAAATACACCTTTGTTTGGTTTGTTCTTTGGTCAAATAATAACATCTATATTCTCCTCCAGACAAACATCCCAGGAAATGTATTGAGAATCATTATTTAAAACAAGACACTAAAAGTAGTAAAGATGCCAGCAGACAGACAGATATGGATGCAGTAAGACTCTCTCAAACTTCCCTTTCTTGAGATTGATAAAAACTATGCCCTAGAAACCTACCCATCTACAGTACAAAATTATAAACAGTGGGAAGCCATTACTAGACTGATTCATTCAGATCTGCACTTGTCATGGGCAAGTGCTGTCAGACGCCATATTTGGGCACAATATGCCCCTGTAGGAAAAATTAGATAGATGACTTAAATCACTATTTATGGTCTTGTTTGTTTGGGTTTAAGAAGTAAAAAGAAAATGGATTTTTCTATTGGTCGAACATTTTAAATACTGGGCCACCAAATAAAAAAAAAAATGGGCTTCTCTAACAAATTGGAGCCTCTTCTATACTCTCCAAGTATATTTGCATTACTTGCATAAATAAGGGCCAAAAATCAGAGAGACTTCCCCTTTTTTACTTCTAGTTATTATCAACATCATCATATACTATGTTCTGTTTTAATTTTGTATAAACTGGTAGAATGGATAATCTTAATGTATACTATTAGCAAATATTATAAATTATAAACTATATAAATGCTATAATTATATTATATAACAATTTTATTGTTCATTTTATTGTACTGTTTTAGCAAAACCTATTAACTAAACTACTACTAATAAATAGGTATCTTTTTGCCCAAGGGTTTGGCTATCATGGGAGTTAAGAAAATGTTAAATGGTGACTACAAATCCTTCTTATCATAGTTGCTTGGCTTTCAGGTTTGGGGAACTTATCCCAAATTTCACTTCACTAATCTTCACAATTAGATCACAAAACTTCAATAATCCCCTGGTTGCCCTCACAGGTTTTCATGACTCGACAAGACCTAAATTTTTAAGAAAAAAAACAACCTGTAAGAAGAAATTTTTGCTTGCTTCTTTAGTGTACCTTGTAAAGTGACAAAAAAATGCAGCAATCTTTATTCCGATTCAGTTTCATTACACAAAGATGGCCTGAGGACTTGCAAAACAGAGAAGGTAGGATTTTTCTGAATTGTATCTGCTAAAAATACTTTTCACATTGATTAAGCTTCATTTGTCTTAACTGTAAAAATCATGTGTTTTAAGGACTAGTACTTTGTACCAAGCTTCAAGTAATTTTTGTCTATAAATAATTCTTTATGTTGTTGCTGACTGATCATAACTCAATTTCCAGTTCTATTTTGGAAGAAAAACTGGGGCGGAAGGGGAAGAAAGGAAGCAGCATTACAAAAAAAGGAGATGTGAATAGTACATTTTCAGATACCACTAGGTGTCTCACATTCTTTAGCTTCAAACACTAAATACCAAAGTAGTGATCAGTACAAAAAGTAAGAGAAGATGGTGGTGAAGTTACCAGAATGTGTAGTTCTGCATTCACTAAATCTTGAACTTGCTTGTGAACAGTTCATTGCTATACAGTGCATTAAAACAGCCAAGATCCCATACTGTACAAGTTCAAATATTCCAAAGCAGAAAAGTCTATATATTGAAAACAAATCTCAGTGTTGTGGACATTTAAAAAGATACAATTATTTAAAACCTCTGAATGAAAAGAACACATCTAAGTTTCTAAAGGATAATTTTACCCTTTGAATAAAACGCAGCACTTACTTTATATATCTTGAAACATAAGTTATATTCTTTGTAGATTCCACCTCTTATAATTAACTTCATAGATATTCTGTTAAAGCATTCTTCTTTTGAGATTTTAAATTTAATGAAAAGGTTTCACTGTTCTGAAGGAAAGCTTGTTTCTTCATTAGTTTCCTGAAAAGTCCATCTGGATTTGCAAGAAGTTCCTCGCGTTTTCCACATTCAGTAATTCTTCCCTGGTCAAGAACTGCAACAGAATCAGCATTTTGAATGGTGGACAGACGATGGGCAATAATTAGGACTGTTCTCCCTTCCATTAGCCGATCTAGAGCTTCCTGCACTTGATACTCATTTTCAGCATCCAAAGCACTAATTCACAGAAAAAAAGAAGGGAAAAAAGTGTCATTCACCTCTAAAATCATCACAACCTGGTTTGTACTAGGCTACTTTCTGTAAAAGTTCCCACTACTGCTATACAACACACACATTACGCAATACTGAACAGTCACTAAACATGGTAAGAAATGGAACCCCCTGAAAACTTTATATTAAGGTACTGACTGTCCTTTAACAAAGTGGCTTACAGAGGCTCTCCAACTGCTTAAGGATTGGAAAGTATATCGTGTTTAGTGGAGAGAAAAATGACCAAAGGTCATGCAGAATCTGTAGGAGAAGTGGAATCAGATCACCCTAATACCTAGTTGCCTGCTCCAAGTATAAGACACCGCTAAGCTTCGTTATCTTGCTGGGATCATTTGATCTCAGCGGTATTCCTCCTAGAGCAGGGGGATTGGACTCAATGATCTTTCAAGGTCTCTTCCAGCCCTTAATTTCTAAGATTCTATGATTATTTTCTTCCTTACCTTGTTGCTTCATCTAGCAGTAGGATTTTGGGATTCTGAAGAACAAAATAAAATTGGTTCAATTACAGCATTATACAAGAGATATGCATTCAGTGTATGTAACTAAACTTAAGCTGACTAAAACTTCAATTTCCATGATGAAGCAAATAAACTTGCTTGAATGTAGTCTGAACTAACCCCAAAATAAGTCTACACTTCAAAAAGAACCAACACAAAATGATTCAAGTCTTTTGAATTCTACTTTCTACCAGTACAGGTAAGATGCAAGAAATCACCATGATAAAAAAGTTAGACAAAAGAAATTTGTCTCTTCAGTGTCTTCACCTTGAAGATTTCAAAGTGTGCTGGATTGTCAATTTTGCCTTATAATTAATTACGTAGGATTTCCTGCTGAATCACCTATACTTCCTGTACAGCCACGCTCCCTCCTAGCACATACAAACACAACATTTGCCTTGCACTATGGAAACAGCAGCTTCCTAGGGGACTAGAATGCATGCTGTACCTACCCATCTCCTTTCAAGATAAGATTGCAAAATTGGAAAATATATAAAAGATGTAATATTCTGTGGAATGACCACATAATGTATTCCTAAAAACTAGGCCAAATAGTCGGAATTAGCAGGATATTTTTTTAAAAATCAGTAATTAAGACAACACCACACCTTCTTCTTCACCCTTCCCTTCCCCTACCACAGATTGTCGCTCCACAACCAAGGCCAACACCTTGGTTTATTAGAAGCATGTTGAGTTGCATCAAATTTGGGAACATCTCCAAAAATAATGTAAACAAACCCAGCCCTAATTAGATGAGAGACTGAAATGCAATTAGAATGCACTATGGGACTGCTGCAGTGGCAAAAGTGTTGATTATAAACCAAGAGTAAATAAGATATAGCCATTAGAATGAAAGTTCTCTTCCTCTGAAGAACAACAAAATCAACAGCATTCACAGGTTTATTGAAGAAAGGCTGCCTTCTGAAGATAGTCAAATTTACCTAACCTTCTCCTCCTCAAGGGAAGGTACACCTTTCTATTTTTGACCAGAAAGAGGGACTCCTCACTACCACCCCAGCCACAGAGGAACCTTTACAGAATTTTTTTTTAACTAAAGTGCCCAGAAAACTACAATATTCACAGCCAAGAACCTGGCTTGAAGTGGGAGAGAGACACATGGGAAGAGTCAAGGACACAGACACTAAAGGACATTTGTACACATGATTGTGTTGCAGCACCATGTTTTTAAAAGCAAATTAAAACAAATTAGAGCTCCTTGGGCTTTGGCTTACCTTGAGCAAAGCTCGAGCAATTGCAATTCGTTGTTTCTGTCCTCCTAAGAAAAGAGGTTTTATTCAAATGAAATGTAAAACAAGAAATTGATTGAAATTAAAAGGTCTACACTAGGCATGACAAACATATGGCCCCATGGGCCAGTCTGGGACTAGCCACCTGCAAAGTGCCCACAGTGCCAGGCCCAGCCCGCATGTCACATACAGCACGGGGCTTGCTGTGCACTCAAGTGTGCAGGGCAGCATGGGGCACATGCTGCCTACAGCACTGCAGGCAGCACAAGGGATTAGTCCAGGGCATCACATGCAGCCCACTCACTAGACCCCGTGCAACACTGGGTCCAGCCCATACAACATGGGCAAAGCACACCTTGTGCCAGCCCCATATGCCACAGGCACAGCAAACCCCAGAGCCAGTCTAGATTGGGCCATGCTGGAGCCAGTACACAGGCCAGTCCAGGGGGCACTACGTGGAGCGCATATCCCATGGCAGCCCCCTAGGCTACTTGTACTATGCACGGTGCCAGATCTGGCCCACAAGCCATATGCAGTGAATGGAGCCAGTCCAGAGACCTGCATGCTGATACAGTTCCATGGGCTGCATGTTTGATACCCCTGGTCTAGACCGATAGGAACTAGGCTATGTGAATCATAGAAGTTATATGCCAGGGATACACAGGGTAGAAAAAATAATCAAGTGTCAGGGGCAACTAGTACTCAGACAAAAGCTAACCAATAACATTCACATTTTGTTCTACGAAGTCTTTTTAAAAAAAAAAAATATAGCGAAGTTATACCTGAAAGTAAAACACCTTTTTCTCCAACTACAGTGTCATATCCTTTTGGAAAGTCTCGGATAAAATTAGCAGCATTAGCTACTTCAGCAACCCTCTGGATTTCTTCAGCAGTTACAGCAGAAGGATTCTCTGCACCATAGGCAATATTTTCAGCAATAGAACAGGAGAACAGAATTGGTTCCTGATAAATTCAAAAGCATAGCTAATGTGGTATTACCTACAGTACGTGCATTTTCTTAATAACTCTCAAGCAAAAAGAAATCCCATTTATGAAGTTAAGCATTCAATTTACTTTATATATAAGTAAAAGCTACAGCAAACAGGAGAGCAACACATTCTTAATTCAACAACCTGCTGTGAATTAAGTAGAGTGCAAACCACACAGATATGAATGAACCAGATTCTACTGTACCAATTATGAAGACTCTGTAAAAATAAAGTACAACTACCAAACTGTTTGGGTGACTCATCTTTAAAGGAGCAGCTGAATGTCTCCTTTGTTCACGTCTGAATGGTTCATCTTTGAAATCCTTTTTTGCATTATGAATAAGATTTACATGGAAAACAAATCAAAGCTGTTTGTGTTCTAAATTCTTATCACGTACTTTCCAATCAGTACACCACACAACAGGAGTTTCACCAACAGACACTCTTTGAAAAAATACTTGCCTATGCAACATACATTTATAGGACACACACACACAAGCAGCTTGGGACTAGTTTTGAACACAACATAATAGCAAATAATTAAGGCTCGAGTGGGGAAAGACTATATTGTAAAAGTAGGCAGTGATAGTTGATTATTCATTCATACAAACGTTTCCTTCTTTCCTTACCTGACTCACTGTTCCAATTTTAGTTCTGAACCACAGTGGGTTTAGTTGACGGATATCAAAGCCATCAACAGTGATGGCACCTGAAATTAAAGAAAAACACTAAGTTGAGCATCATTTAAGGTTGTTTACACAAAGGCAAAAAGAATAGGCGAGGAACATATCTGAGTTTTGAAGGGGGCACATAAGAGCTATGCTCTCCACCTCTAGACATAGCACCAAGGTGGTATTCTTTATAGAATGTTCATCTATTCATTCCTTATTTACAAGCTTTACAACACTTGTTTAAACACCTGAAGCAAGACTATCTTCATCTGTACAGCATGAAGAGCAAAATGTGCATGGAGCCTCCCTCTTGCACTATAGCCATTTATACTATCTATCCCTCTGTTACCCAGAGCACAAGGGATGATGCAGGACAATACCACGGCCAATACTAGTCTCTTGAGTGGGTGGGGGAGGAACAAGGTTACTTCATAAACATAGGCGTTTTTTTTATTTAAAGTGCAAGGATCATTCCTTTCCCTCTCTGAACTGGCTGCCCTCCTCACAAGTTCCTACAGAGCTTAGTTTTTTAAACAAACACACTTCATCAGCTCCAAATCAAAGTGATTTTTTACATAGGAGGAGTCATAACTTGGTAGATGTGCTACTAAAACAGACACCATTCACCAGGTACTCTCCTCCAAAAAAATAGAAACATTGCATATGTTTAACATTCAGGTAGGACCTCAACTTAAAATTCTTGCATTAAACCACTTGTTATTCCCAAAGCACGCATTAAGTGCAGAATAACAACTCCTAGTGACAGCAACATTAAAGTACAAACATACCCGAGATGGGATCATACAGCCTCAGCAAAAGTGATACAATAGTTGATTTGCCTGAGCCACTTGGGCCAACCACTGCCATGACAGAGCCAGCTGGAATGGAAAGACTGAAGTCTTGAAAAATTGAAACTTCTGGACGTGCCGGATAAGCAAAATGGATCTTTCTGAATTCCAAAGCCCCTCTGAAATGGTCTTCATCCAACACAACACCAGCTGGTCAATAAACAAAGAACGACAATACAGAGAAAAAACAACCTTAGTGACAGCAAAAATACAACTGACGGCTTAGATGCCTATATAATAACAGGCAATGTCAAATTAAGGAGCAAAATATTAAGCTTGCAGCAATCCTAAGTGCAGCATCTATTTTGCAAAACTATAATGGTTCTGCACCATATTTAATACATGTGACCTAAGGCTCCCAGCATAAAACAGTCCAACTATATCACTTCATGCCAATCTCATCTCTCACAGGGATGTGGCTGCAGGCTAAAGCATAGAGTTTTGCACAATGTTTTGCTACTACTTCTGAATCATTTTTTAACATTTCATCGTAGGTCAGGATGCATCTAAATATTATCATCATCATCTAACAACTAGTCTTCTTGAATGCAGCCTCAAACCAGCTTATACATAAGTGATTCTGTAGGTATCGCAGCAATAGGGAGAGTTTAGAACCTAGTGATACTGGGTGTGTCTACACGAGATGGTATGTTACCACAGCAATGACCTAGGTTGCAGTAGATCATTGCTACAGAGACGTAGTTTTAGCCGGCATGAACCACGATGCCTACACTACTGTGCAGTAGTGTCAGAAACAACCCAAGTGCTGTCAGGACTGCACAATAACATCAGGTACTTAAGCAAATGCTAAATGACCGCGCAGTAGTAACAACTGCAGTGTGGCACAGGTGTAGACATGCCTACTGACTACTAAGGGAGATGTTGCTTTGGCTGAACTAGATACATTTTTAATTGTTACAACAAAGTGGAACCCACTACTACAAGGCAAGTCATTTTGTAAGACAGTGCAACAGGAAAATCCAAGTGACAGACCTAGAGACTCAAGTCCATGTACCAGATACAGCAAGGCAAATGGTGTATACCCCTCATTCACAGCCCTTTCAATGTGCCTCAGCCCTTTTCTGCGACACTCCCCACTCTTTGGGCAAAAGCAACACAGTCTGTTCTAAGCTTTGCTTCTGAGCTAAAGCAGTCACTGGAACTCAACTGTTTTGACACTTTTTTGAGATCAGGTTACTAATGGCCATTTCTCAGATTTATAAAGTGAAAAAAAAAAAAAAAAAAGTAAGTTCTAGCAGAGGTGTCAAATGTAGTCTGTAGGCCAGATCCAGCCTGAGAGGCTCCTGGAGCGGCTAGGAACCTGGCACTGGGGTGAACAGCAAGAGCCTTAACCCCTGCAGCTCCTTATCTCAACAGTGGTTCATGCACCCCTGGAGGTCAATGCCATCATTGTTGCTTGCTCCAGACAAGAGTTCAGATCCTGCTTGGAGGGAACCCCAATTCAGTTCTGATTAAACCTGGGGGGCTAAGTGAGTGTGAGAACCTTTGATTTATAAAATAAGACGATCAAGCATCATTCTTTGGCAAAAACTCATTGTGCAAACTTAAAACTCAGGTTTTTACTGGAAAAGTTACTGTCTTTTGAAGCACAGCATTACATTTGAAGAACAAGAATTAAAAGAAAATTAACACTAGACAAAGTTGTAATGTGTGTGGCTCAAGGAAGACAATTTTTCAGGTCCCAATAAGGCATATGAAACCTCTAAATCCATAGATTAGGCCTTATCTTTTAAATAAAAAGATATGTATTAGTGATCCACAAATTATTTGAGCAACAATGTTGAAGGAACTGTCCATAAGTGCACTGAAAGTACCTTAATATAATTATACATTTCATACATGCAACAGATGCATAGACTAAACTTAGTACAGTTATGGTATTTAGTGTATTCAAAGGAAACTTGGCAGCAGACATGGATGAGTATAACAATTAGCATTCATCTCCAGGAAGTTCAACAAATTTAATGTCTGAAAAATTCCATTTTTGATTCTCCTCAAAATTCCTCCCCTTTTCTTAGGCTCTTATCTTTATTTACTTCTAGTGTAGTAAACTGCTATTACTATGTCAATAGTGGAAGAGTATGGATACAAAACTGCTTAAGATGTAAAGCCATTGGAGGTACTGATTTTAAATCTTAACCTAGCATAGAAATATTATGTGCATGCTGAAAAAAACCATATTTACTCTGTGCTATCTTCATACACTTTCCCATTATTCCAGATATTAAGTAGAATATTCTAATGCCCATCACAAAAAATTGCACTATTGCTTCAGCCAGTACATGAAGTCTGATGCAAAAAGTCTTTCCTCCGAGTATTACTGCAAAAATATATCAAATGCAATTTTGTATGCAACTTCATTTCCCTTTTGGGTTCTAGATCTGTAGAAGAATACTGTGACTGGATCTTGATATCTATATGGTATCAAGAAAAGAAAAGAAAACTGGGATGAGTAAAGGTGAGAATCAAGTAATACAGCAAGTAGACATTTCATGAGAACTTGGGAAAAGGGAAATATTTTTGTTGGCTTTATTATTGTTCTAAAATAACCTCTGAAATGTTGGAGGGAGACCTATGTTCTCCTCTGAAGTTGTTTTGTATTGAAAGATATTAAAAACTTATGAGGACAGGCTGAAGGAATATTGTTCCTGGAGACTTTTTTGCACCCTTCTAGTCTGTTAGGTATTTAGCAGGTATAGACAGACATGTTAGTTGTCTTTTACAAAACTAAAACTAAAAAGTGCAATTCTGAGGAAAACCCCCTTCTTTCTTCCTCTCATCCTTATGCTGTAAAGCTGATACAAAGGAGGGCTGTCACTATAGTACTGCAAAACTCAAAGTTCTATGAACAAAGAATCAGAGGGCGGCCAAGTACCACATTCAGAAGCACATCTTGAACAAATAAAAAGCAAATTTTGAAGTCAAACTCTATGCTTGTAAATTTCCTTTAAATATTTTCGTAAGATATTGACACAGTTTTTACTGTACCTAGTTCCACTGAGAATATTAAAAGTTGATGTTAGCTTTCATTATATAAACTTCGTCACAAGCTTAGTAATTAATCTAAAAACATTAACGTAGAAATAAAATAAAACCCACCATTAAATGGAAGTTCTGGCTTCCTTTCAAGAAGTTCCCAAAGGCGTCCTCCAGCACCTAATCCTTTTGTTAGCTCAGAAAAGAAAGAGCTCATACCTAAAGAAAACACAAAACAAACACACACAATAACCATACATCACTAAAGTATGTGGAAAACATGAGAAGAAATTAATCAGTTGTGTTCATAGCAATTTGTAAAATAAAACTATGCAACTTAGACATGAAATATTAGAAATCTTAATACTTATGAAAGTGAGCTTACAACTTTAAAAGAAATCTTTACCAATTTCAGTGGAAGATACATGTGTGTGCAACTGTTACAATGAAAAAGGATGAGAGTTACAGGATATTTCTGCAGATTTCACTGTAAGGATTGCAATTATGACAATTCATTCCTTACAAAGAACTTTCCATAAAGCATATGAAACTTTAACACAAATTCTATAGGAAGGCTCTTTCATTTCTATTGCATCCTGAGGTGACGCTGAAATGAACTAGAAATTCTCCAAAAGCAACAAGTAAATGCAAAAGCTACTTTAGCCAAGTACAAAAATGAGTTCAATATAGAACGGTCCTATTTTTACACTGAGTTCAATGTATTCTACAGTATACTACCCTTACATTTTCAAAGTATTGTACATTTGCACACTGATAAATACAGAACTCCTCAATGGGAAAACTGAAAATATTGGCAGTAGTTAGGGAACAGCCAGAAAACAGTTTGGGTTTTGTAGCAACAGCAAAATTCTTGTCAATATGAGAAAGAAACATGCTTATTGCAAGCATTTAGGTGAAGAAATAGAAGTGTATTCTATCTCTGTTCTTTACTGCCTTCCATGAACGACGGCTCTGCACAGTCAGCTGCAGCCCGCAAAAGTTTGTTTTATTATATATTTAAAAAAACAAAAAAACAAAAAAAACCTACTTTGGCTAGTTTATAAAATGCAAATCTACTCTACCTTCTATCTGAAATATAGTAAATAGTATAACAGAAGCACCATTCATTCTTAAGAGAATTCAAAATAGTTCCCAACCTATATCTTATCTTCATTTTTTGGGTGGTACAATACTGATGAACATTCCCCAAGAGAAGCAGTTAGTCTCTGGGTCAGTAGATTACAAATTCTAATCTTTACTGATGAAGGAAGGGAATAAAACAAGAAAGGAAAGAGAGCCTTTGCTGCCTCTATGACATGGTCTCTTAAAGAACTGTTCTAACTTTATGCAAATGAGTGTCGGAATTACAGCAAAACTTCTACATGCCTTCCTTCCTAAAAATAATTATCCTAAACAGAGACACATTTTATTTCATATAAAACCTAAATAATTCCCAATGCAAAGTCAGATCATATCTGAATGCACTTTGAAGATTTAACCTCTGCAATTGGAGCAGGGGAAGAGCTTTAAACCATTTGGTAATAGAATTAAAGACTTTTGATTTTCATAGCAACTGACCTTTCCAAAAATATATTTACAAATCTTCCCAAAGATCATTCCATCCCATCAGGACACAGATTAGAGCTAAACTGTGCTCAATGGCGACAGATAACAGAACAAGGAGCAAGGGTCTCAAGTTGCAGCCAGGGAGTTTTAGGTTGGATATCAGGAAAAACTCTCACTAGGAGGGTGGTGAAACACTGAAACAAGTTACCTAAGAGGTGGTGAAATCCCCATCCTTGGAGGTTTTTAAGAGCTGGCTCAAGAAAGCCCGGGCTGGGATGAACTAGTTGGGGATGGTCCTGCTTTGAGCAGGGGGTTGGATTAGTTGATCTCCTGTGGTCCCTTCCAACCCTAATTTTTTGTGATTCCAAGACTCTTAAGGAAAGCCAAAAATTAAGAGGTTCGGGTTTTAATTTTATTATTTTTTTTTATACAAGAGACTAGTACCTTTTGCTGTACTCTGAAACATAACTTTAGGTTATAATTTGAAATCATATGTTTCATATTCCATACCTCTAATGCTTACTCCAACCCAGAAGGCATACATCAGGAAGGAAGAGAGTTCACCAACTGTCATTTGGGCACTGGTCATGAGTAATCCTCCTTTGTACAGAACAGAGAGGACAAACAAGTTCCCAGAAAGCCCAGTCTGGAGAACAAGAGAGAAGTCTGAATTCGAATTGGATTTTTTCATAAACATCTAAAATTTCACCTTCTGAAAATTTTGGTATTTCATTTTAGAACAAAAACATCACCTGGGTAAGTAGATCCAAGTGAAATCTTAAAACTTTAGTTTACTTAAACTTTCTGGGCTTCTCATCCCAACATCTTGCCTACATTTGAAAGCTTTGCCTGGCAGGGCCTCAGAGCTCAAGTATTTAAGATCAGTTAAAGCTCTCTCCAGAATGCAAAGAAATACTGTGCAGTGCCCTCAATTGATCCTTCCTTCTCTAAACCATAAGCAGCTGTGATAGACTTCAGAAGACACAGAGTGCCCAACCTTCAATTAAGAGAGAAGGGATAACCACAGTTCCTTTCCTCTCTAGTAAAAATGTATTTTATATAAAGACACATAGATTTGCAGCCAGATGCTATTATACATTATAGACCTGGTTACCACAGCTGCTGCTGCTACATTAGGGGGTCCATTTTGCCCAGAAACAGTCTGTATGAACCCAAGCCGCTATAACTAGGGACCTACCTAAATTGTGGCAGAAGTGCACCGTGCAATGGCTCCTTTAAGTCTCTCTTTTAGTTGCATACCCCCTCCCCCACTGACTGGTCAAGGAGCCCCTGCAACACCACCACTGGCTGCTGATCAGCCAGGAGGCAAAAACCACAGCATATTTAAAACTATGTTTTTTTCTAAGTCTGTGAGAGATGGGCCCTATTCGATTAGGATTCAGCCCAAATCAGGGACAGTGATTCGATCCGTTGATTCGGATCACCCGTCACGTGACGGTTCGATGCTGATTCAGCGAATCAGCAATTCGGACACAGGTACAGCTTTAAAAGTTTTTTCTACATACCTTGAGGTAGCAGTGCGGCTTATGATCACTGCAGTGCTGGGGCAGATGCAGTGTCCCACAGCAGCGCAGGGAGCTCTCCAGCATGCTCAGCAGTTAACCCAAAAGTGGACTGGAAATACTTCTGGGTCTGCTGGGGAGTGCGCTGGGCTCCCATGCCCCCCCTGGTTTGGTGATCAGCCACAGGGGGATGCTGGGTGCCCACCCCAGTCCCAGGAGGCACCAGTTGCCAAGCTGGGGACTGGGAAGGGGGGGGGGGGGGGCAGGGGGGCCCGGGAGGATGCCCCCC